TAGTTTCTTATGTCAGAGTAAAGCATGGCTAGAACCAATGAACCTCAGAATGTTTTTTATTGTCTCAAAGATAAGCTTCGCATGGTTTGCACATGATGGATCTGAGCATTGTGGGATTCCTTCTCTCCTTCCAGGCCTCAATATTGGTCCTGTTGTAGCTGGGGTGATAGGGGCACGCAAACCCCAGTATGACATATGGGGCAACACGGTGAATGTGGCCAGCCGCATGGACAGCACGGGCGTGCCTGACAGGATTCAGGTAAGGATTAATTGGAAAACTTACACTGTCAGCCCTGCATCACTTACAGGTTTTGAAACTTAATTAGAATTGGAATTTGGGTTTCATTTTATTCCTTTATGCAGTACATTTACTTACACAGTACTGAAAAAAACAGCCAGCTGAGGAATGCTAGTTGTACTACCAAGTTTTGCCTTTTAAGCTTGACCAACACTGCAACCTTTGGTGGAAGTGTTGAGCTGAGTTTCCTTCCCTGAGCAGCACTGAGCACAGTCCTGCTGTGATGCTTACTCACTCGTGCTACTGCCTTCGCTGCTCAGCTAAGTGCAGCTGTGGGTTGTTTTATTTTCCAGGGTGACTCAGATGTGTATTTTTGTGATGCACATCCCTGTTCATAACGCCTTGGGTGTTGTGAGCCTAGCGAGGATCCGGGCACCAGTGGGATGGGGATATATAGCTGGAGAAAGAGGATGGTGTAAGGGTTTAATGGAAACTCTCTTGTAATCAGACATCTCCTTGGCCTTCAGACAGTGACCTTTCCAATGATTCAATTCCACAGTCTTGCTTTCCCTGAACCCAATGTCCACAGTAACAAATTGTCATTCCTTGGGAAAGCATTGAAGGGATATAAAGTCAAGAGTAACTGATGTCAAAAGTTAAGAGTAACTGGTATAGAACATAAAAGGGGAAGCCATGCTGTTTCTTTCCAATTAAAATGTCAGTTAACTGGGTCAATACTTATCCAATGCCCTTTAAACTTCCCTACAAAACGGTCTGTGAACAATTTTCATCCTAGTTAAGCAAATCAGCATAGCAATGTTACAGCAATAGGAAGCCAGAAAAGTAATTATTTAAAGCCACCTGAAAAGAGGTGAGAAAATATGTTGCAATAAATATATATCTCAGGAAATCTGGTCTTTAAACTTACTCTATTCTGCAGCACAAGAGATTTGCGAGACAATTTGGATGCTGGCTAGGTTATTCCGTTCATTTGGTCTTCCTCATTGCCTACTACCTTCTGCTTCATAAAAACAAACCTCTGAATGAATCCTTCTAAATTATACATCCACTGTGTAACTTCTAAGTAATTTTTGAGGACTTTTAAAAAATGTCTAATGTGTTTTCCTGCTACCACTCCAGTGGTAAAATGAGTGCATCCAAGTAGACTGAACAGACAGACGTGTTTTTTAAAACGTGACTAATTTGTTTCTTTTTATCCTGTGACCTTCTTGAAAATTGTGGGTTTCCTCCAGTTGTGTACCACGTATGAGTTCTGTAGCATCTCAGTTTCTAAAAGCTGTGTTTGTTCTGCAACTTGTGCTCACCTTTTCGTTTGTGATTAATACTGAGAAGTCAGCGGACTTAAAAACAAAATAGTTGATCCTACTTTAATTTTTGTCCATGGATTACTCCAAAGACTGTGTGAAAGGCATGACAAGCATCTTCTTACTCTTGTTTATTCTGCAGGTAACCACAGACATGTACCAGGTTTTAGCAGCCAACAACTATCAGCTGGAATACCGAGGGGTCATTAAGGTCAAAGGCAAAGGAGAAATGACCACTTACTTTCTAAATGAAGGGCCTCCAATTAGTTAGCAGCGACTGCAGCATCAGTCAAAAGTGGAATCTGCATTACAGGAGATGATTGTGAATCAGAGAAGAATCACTTTTTGGCAGTGAAGCTGAGAAGGCAGCGCAGTTGAAATTTCACACCGTGACTCTAGAGCCAGTGTCAGCAAACTCTTTGGCCACCCATCATGAAAGGCAATCGAAGAAACCACCTGGGAGTTGTTCCTGGCTGAGTGCTAAGTCGACCAAAGATGTGTACTACAGAGTTCACAGATAAGACATGAATTTGGAGTTTTTTAAAGACTGCTACCACAGGATGATATAAGAAGCTATTTAAGTATTTATTGACGTAACACAACATTTACTTGGTTGAAGGAATGTATGATTCACTACAAAGCATTATTTTGGAATGGATTTGCACTTCCATAGTTTCCATCCCATACTGCCAGCTGTTTGAAGTGTACCACTGTGCTTTTATTAGCCGTTTTGAATGGGCTCTCAAAACTGACACCCACTGTTGCAGCACACAGAAAGGCCTTTTAGAAGGGCATGGGTAATGTTGTCATGTGAAAAGACATCGTAGCCCTGGCTCCCTCTCTTCCCTTCTACATGGCTGAACGACTGCTCCTCTGAGTGGGGCTGGCACAGCTGGTGAAGGGAAGGATCGAGGTACAGAAAGATGCCTCTACAACTGTATTTATTGACAAGTCTTCTGTGCTTTTCTTTGGTATATATCAGTTTATATGGGAAAGACTAGATGTAAACAAGAGACATTTTGTGGGGGGAGCTCCCCTGAAATTTGTTGTGGGTTTTTTTTGTATTTTTTATTTTGTAATATTGAAAACATGGAGATCTAACAGATATACCAAATTCTATATTTTGTAAATTATATATAAATTAGAAGGCAGGCTGTCCACACCAAGGTGTGATGGGAGATGTATATAACCTGTAGACTTTTGTGTAATTTTTTGTGCACAATACTCTGAACACAGACTTGGCAGTTTTCAGATTATCACTATACAGTCAACCGACACGAAACAGGTGAGTTTCCAGGTTGAATCAGATGCATTTTAAAATGAAAATCCAGAAAACTCTGCAGCCCCAAAGAAGAGGAAAAAAACAAAACACAGTAGACACACAGTTGTTCCATGCAGCATTCAAGCAGAGGGTGGCATCTTAACAAATGGAAACAGGACCTTTGAGTTTTAGCTACTGGGACAGTAGCAGTCAAACATGTCAAAAAGCTCTAAGCAAATCTTCTAACTTACTCTAACAGGAGCTCTTACAGGGAGAGAGAAAAAAAAAAAAGAAGCTTATTTGAACTTTTTTTTTTTAAATGGCATTTTTCATTGATGATCTTAATAGAATACTGCTGACATGACAGTTCTCTGATACAGTAACTGCCACTCGACATTACAAGGAGCTACATACTGCAGCTTCGAGTTGACTTTCCTGTAGTAGGCACTTATTTAAAGTGAATCACAGATTTTCAATTTTCAGGAATTAGGTGATCTTCAAGAAAAAGTTATGATGGCAAGTGTGTATATGAGGTGGTCGACCTTAAACGATCAGTGCCATTGATACTGTCTTGGAAATCTTTGTCACTAGTGGGGGGGTTTATGAATAGTTCACTGTTATCATTTATGTACCTTTTTTAACTATTAAAGAAAAATCCCTTGATATTTTATTAAAAAAAATAATTTTAAAAAAAACTATTTTTATATTCTATGAGGGGAGAGTTTTGATATTGAATTTGGCTAGCACTAAAAATGACTCCAATCTTTTAACATTTAATAAAGTTCTTTTCCACTCTTCTCAGGGCAGATTTATTGTTTAAACATAGCTTAATGATTGCACTATGGTGGTGGTGATTCGTTTTCTCCTACTCGACAACGAGAATAAGTGATAATCCATGGGCCTGTCTGAATTAATTTGCCATATTGCTAAGCATAACCCAAGCATTAAGCCATTTAAACATGAGCTTAAATGGCATTGTCCCTTTCCTTCTCCTTTCCACTAGGAAACATCTCTGAAAAGTATAGTATATTGACTTCTGTAAAACTGCCAAGTCTGCCCTTGTACTATACTTTTGCTCTTTTACATCCTTCCTGGTTTGCAGAATCCTTCAGTTGCTTCACGCCATTCTGCCTTTCTCCCCAGCTGCACCTCCCACCCCTCTCACCCCCTCACCGACTTCCATTTCCTTCATGCCACACGCTCGGTTTCAGATTTCTTTCTGCTTTACGAAAGTCTGCGGTCTTCTTAACTTTGGATTCATCTTATGAAGCTGTGTTGTCAATGAAATTTCAAGTCCCCAGTATCTCTAGCTGTGATTGTTGACAGTGTGTCATGATCATTTCAAGGGGTATTCACATACTCTTTACTCTGGATCTTGCAAAAATGGATACAATTATGATTTCCCATGGAAATTGAAATCTATTTAAGTAATTTAACTCTATTAAACACTGTTTCACTGGTAAAGTGTCTCTGTGTTATTTTAGCTGCATCTGGCTAGTGAAGAGATCAGACCTAAGTTGTGTATGAGCCGTTGAATCTACAGATAGAAACACCCAGTTCTTGGGTAGCGCTGGCTGGCTGTTCAGAGCACACGGCCCTACCTGACACCCCGTTACAGAGCCTGAGGGGCTTGGTCACACGGTGAGCACCCCCGGGCCCCCCCTGTGCACCCACTCGCCTTCAAACGCTAGTCTTGGGATAACTGACAAAGCCTCCTTTGTGACACTGTGGTTAAATAGACTGGTATAACTACATTGTGTGTGTGTGTCCTATTAAAAAAAAAAACCTGTGTATTTTAGAAAAATACATCACCTTTGCCAAAGAAGAATTCCCCAGGTACCTCAGTACTTGTCCTCCTGAGGATGTGGGGAAAGAGGCAGCAGTGCTTGCCCGCACAATACTTTCAGTCTTTACAGGTAAAGAGGAAATGCTACATGTAACTATACCAATTAACAGAAGCCTGAATTATAACTGAGAAACAAAAAGCTGCAGTTTTCCACTGACTTTTTTTTTAGTTGACAAAGACATTTCACAGGCAGCTAAGAACCAAATGACTTACAATCTGTTATTTGTTAGGAGGGATTTTATAAGTGCACTGCGAACACAGCTGCATTAACAAAAAGTCATGAAGTACTTAAAGTATCAGTCTTTAAGCAAGATGGAGAACTATATAAGTCTTTATATATTCTCCTACATAACCGTACAAACAGCAATTTAGGACACAAGCAATTTCTGAAACTGTCTGGAGAAGGGTGTTCCCAGGGGAAGGAAGCCTGTAGCCTTCCACACTATGCCCTCTCATTTAAATTGTACATACTGTGTGACTGAACTATTTTCCCTAAATGCATCTTTTTCCCAGCTAGAAAGCGATTTGACAACTTTCAAGGTGTTTAGGCACTTCTTCCCAACACAAAGCTGGCTACAGCAAGTATCGGCCTGCGGATAACAAAATGATACATTTGGGATGCACCAAATTTCTTACACATGTCCTGCGCTGCCAGTATCCCTGGCCTGGCTGGCCACGCAGTACACAGCATACATGGACAAACATCTGGCCAAAAACTATGCCTAGACGCAAACATTTTCATTCTGTTAAAGTTCCTCACTGCTCCTTAGGGCACCATCACTTCTAGGTTGAAGTCTGGGGGGCTGGCAGGGAGAGATAGCTTGGAACGCAGCCTGGAAAAGGGCAGTTAAGCTGTTTTAAGCTGAAAAACTCTGTTTCCAGTCTCTTAAGCCCTCTCTGTCCCAGGCTGTTCAACTGAAGGAGCCAGAAGCACCTTGAAGGGGTCAGGGAGGCAGGCAGGACTGAGAACACTGAATTTTGGGTGGATGGAGGATGACAGCAGCAATATTTTTCCTGCCATCTGACAGACAGGTAGCTTACTGTAAAAAAAAAAAAAAAAAAAGAAAAAGCAGGGCTGTATTTTTTAATTTTTTTAATTTCTGTCCCTGAGCACCTCACAGTCCCCGGCTGTCCTGCTCTGCCCTGACAAGCCCCATGCTCCATTTTCTGCTAAACACAAAAGGTAGCTTTTGGCTAAAGTCACCAAAGCAGTTTCGTTTCAATCAAGAGACAATAAAACACTCCTATTTTACTACTTGGGAATAAGCCACCAAAAGGAAAGGCTTGGGTTTTGTTAGCTTGCTTTTTCTTATGCGCTTCAATGCCACGAATGCCGGGCAGTCCCCGGCGCTGAGGCCTCTGCCGCAGACAGCCATTGCCCTCTGCCGGGAGCAGCCTGCCTGGCCTTCACCCCGCGCCGGCGCCGAGCAGTCCCGCGGCGTCAGGCCCAAGTGCCACAAAACTCCCTCCCGCCATGGGGCTGGGCAGAGCACAGCGCACCTAAGGCGCCCCCTCCTTCCAAAGTGACTGATTACACAATCAAATGCCACTTGTAGATAAGCAAAAAAATAACCAGGCCAGGCTGATGTGTGTCATCCCCCTAACTTCCCCAGCCCGGCAGCAGCCGATGGTGCAACACAAGACCCCACCACACGTGCTGCTCACTAGGAGGGAGACCCGAAAGGCTCCTGCTGCAGTGCCACATACTGCAGTGGAAGTGGTGAATGAAGGGCAGGAGGCTGAAGGCTAACAGCCCTGGCAGGTGCTCCTCAGCCCTTTGAAGGAGAGACTATCAATGTATAAAACAACCCACAGTGAAAGTGAAGTAATCGTGATGTCTGCAAAGAAAACCCATTTCCATCGTCACCTAATTCTCTGCTAGTTTTGACAGAGCTAAAAATGAGTCCAAGTAACACACACACACATATTCCCTTGTAGAAGGCTGCATTCTTTTCTACACCTCTCTCTATATATATAATCTTATACACGTGTGTGTCAGTCAAACAGTGTGAAAGGACAAAGGGTGTACACATTTCCTGGGGTCTGAAAAGTTATTGCCTGGCAAAATCTGACAATTCACAAATGAGACAAATTCTTATTCCCAGCTATTGGGCTAGACATTGAACACAAGCGAGCAAAACACTACAAAAAAAACCCTCAAGAT